AAATGTGTTATTGTTAAAGGCATATTATTCGTGCTTCGGTCTACCGAATACGTCTCTATAGAGACGTCTCTCGAAGTCCGGACTATGAGGCCATCCCATCTGCGTGGTTGTAAACGGAAATGATGTTTTTGGATCTCGGAAGTTAAGCAACGGGTCAGCAATGGTCAGAGATTTGATAGGTAGACTACTTGAGCAAAGTGCTTGTGCACAATGGGGCTGTAGTGAGTCGTATAATCAGCTCCCTGTGGTTAAAAAAGTACCACCGTGAAATAATTCCAACACGGCAGGTGTTCACGTAAAGCTCTTTGACATCTTTAGAACACGGTATCTGGAAGTCCGGACTATGAGTTAATAATTTGTTGACCTTTGTAAGCGCATCCTTTCAAATCGAAATATTGGTCGTTGACCCCCAAATGTAAACATACATATATTCTATGACCTTATTAGATTTATTCTTTTGTCTGTAGATTGAAAACTAAAAATCGTGTTCGAACAAGGCTGATAATTTCAACAAATATCTACATACATATATCTATAAGAAAAAAATCGACAATATCGGATCATGATTTCATCTGACTTGAATTATATTGTAAATTAAGGCGAACAGCGCGCTATATTTGAAAGTCTAATTCAGAAAAAGTTTTAACGTTTATAAATGAGTTTAAAATATCAGTCTATCATGAGAATCGGTCCATAATTAACCCTTTTAGAATGCCTCTTAAAGAAAATCTATAAAAAACTACATAATACAACTATTATACAAATTGCAAAATATAGTCTTTCAAATTCAATAGAGTTTGATTCATAATTTAATTCCCCATAAAAGACCCTCTTCCGATCGATGATTCTATATAGACCGCTTTCCGAAATAGATTTTAAATTAATATATATTAGGTTTATTATTTAACTCTCCCCTGGTCCTGATGAAACTAGTCGTTGATGGAAAAATCTGTGTAAGTTTCAAGTTTTTCTAATTCGTTAATATGGGACCTAGTTTTGTATAAATCTATATATGTATATAAATCGAGTTATTTGAGATGTTTTGAATGAAATGTAATTTTCTTAAAAAGTTTTTGGCCAATAATAAATCTAAATAGGTATGTACATTCAAAATGCAACTTTCAGCTGCGTCATTTAAAATTCCAAATGTTTTTGTAGGCGTTAACCCAAGTAGCTCTAACTGACATATATTAGCCGAAACTGCCTTCCTTTAACCTTTTTCGATATTTTTTGTTATATTTTGCATATAATTTAGTAAAAACTCCAGCTGTTTTTCCTTATGTACAGAGGAAATAACTTAATATAGAAAAAATTTTCTGCTAATTTGTGATGATTAATGCAATTTTCTGTATGCCGACTACTAAAGCGGCATGAAATGTTAGAAAATTGCAACCCTTTTGTTATAGAAAATACAGGAAAACTATTACTTTGATAATTTGCGACTTTTCATTCATAAATATGAATAATAAAGAGTTAGAAATCATTAGTTGTAGTACAAATGTTAACAATTTGTGTTAAATAATGGCTAAATGACTTGTTAAAAGTATAAATTTTGAAAATGACAAGACAACGCCTGCATTTCAAAGATACTGTGCATAAAGCGTTTTTAAAAGTAATCTTTCTTCTCCTGATCATTTAGTTTACTCTTTAATAACTAAGGAAAATTCTTAGAGTTTTTCCTTATCCATTATCCATACGTTTTACTTAGTTTGAAGCATACAGATAAATAAATACCTATACTAACTTGCTGTATGTGTCTCTAACTATGCTAAGGGTTTAAAACGGATATAGCTTTAAATAGCTTTAGCGGATATAGCTTTAAATAGCTTTAGCGGATATAGCTTTAGCTTTTCCTGTAGGAAATTTTTCTTTAAGCTATACCTGCTCTCTAACTATTTTTCTATTACAGCCAAAGAAAGAGAGAGAGAGAGAGGAGATTAATTGATCCTGTAATATACTCTATAGGCTTGATCAAAATAATCATTAGTTTGAAAGATTTTGTTAGACAGATATAGATAGAGACAGAGAGGGAGTTAGTGGGTTTTAATAAAACCCTTGTGTATGATTTTAATATCTGAATAAACGTCTTGTATGGTTTTCATAAAACTCCCCTGCTTAGAAATTTCTTGTAGATTTGGAAACTCGATTAAATGAATCTAATGGTTTTGTGATTTCTTTAGAAATTTAGGAAAATTTCTTTAGTATTAAAATTCATGATTAAAATTTTCAACATGTGTTTCATGACATTGGGATATAAGTATTTAATCGGTTGTGACTGTACTTTGTCAAAAATAAAATAAGGAATCTCTTAGAAAGATCTGTGGAATAAGTAAGTGTGTGTTTATGGTTAGATATAAATTCTATTATTGGAAAGTTAAGTTGGAAAGATATTTGGAAATAATAGAACTGGGTTTAATTTTAGAAATTGAAAATAGCCGAAACTTGGAGACTAAGTTATATTAAACTGAATTCTAAACTGGTTTTCAAATTTTTCCATTTTTGAAAAAAATTGTGGTTTTGGCCATTTTTGAGACGTTATAACAACGTAAGGACAGCTTTATTTATAAAATTTCTTATATCATCTGAAAGTCCAAAGGTTTAACCTTTCACATTCGGATTCAGCGCTTCTTGATTTATTACAAAAGTCCATTTCGAACCCATAAAACATTTTCTGGGCCCAATGTATTTCAAATGAAAAGCCTTTGAAATAAGGAATTATGTTTTCTCAGAATCTTAATCAAATCTTTGATATTTATCGACCGATTTTTGTTGGTTTTAGTTAGAGAAAATCATGAAAGCATGTCTAATAGAATGATCTAAGATTTGGATCTTGATGACATCTGGGGCCTTCAGAAAATTGATTTCAATCTTCAGTATACATATATTTCACTGTTTCACAATTATCACAATTAGTTTTATTAAAAATTCTATGATATTTTCCTTATTTAAAAGCCAGAGGTTTACTTACATCGAAACACGCTAAGGTTTTAAAACGGATATAGCTTTAAATAGCTTTAAAGGATATAGCTTTAGCTTTTCCTGTAGGAAATTTTTCCTTAACTTATACCTGCCCTGCCTAAGAGCGAGAAAAGATATTTACTAATCCTGTAATATACTCTATAGGCTTGATCAAAATAGTCATTAGTTTACAGGATTGTGTTTAAGAGACAGACAGAGAGAGTGTGTGAGAATAAAACCATGGGTTTTAATAAAACTCTGGTGTATGTGTGATTTTAATATCTGAATAATCGTTGTGCTTGGAAACTTGATTGAATGAATCTAATGGTTTTGTAATTTCTTTAGAAATTTAGGAAAATTTCTATGGAATTAAAATTCCTGCTTTAAAACACGATAACATATGTTTCATTTCTTTGGGTTATGTTTAATCGGTTGTAACGGTACTTTGACAAGAATAAAGTAGAGAAGATCTGTGGAATAACTAAGTGTAGTATGTGATTATCGTTAGATAAAAAATTCTGCTAATGGAAAGTTTAGTCGGTAAGATATTTGGGAATTATAGAACTGGGTTTGTATCCAGCAAAGCAAGCATAAAGATTTTATATAAATCTAATTTTTTTTTAAAGTTTCTTAAAATTAAATGTCGGCTTTGCATTATGGAAAAATAAAAATAACCGTCGGTTTTTCACTGAAACAAATTTAAGAAATATTTTTTCCTAAATCAATATTAAATTTCAAAAATGTTTGTTGAAATTTGTTGAAGGAATTCAAAATGGAGTTTCATGTTACCATATTAATTAATAGAAATCTTTAAGACTTGTATTCAAATATTTTTAAACATTTTTAAAATTTACTCACGCGTCCAAGGGCAATTTGTTACTACTACATTCTGATTATTTAAGAATTTTGTAAGCAGCAAAATCATAGATTCATAGATAATGTACATTGGATTCATATATAATGTACATTGGACTATTTCATCACCAGTCAAGAGATCATAACCTAAAAATTTTCTTGAAGAAAACTACAAAAAAAAAAACAAATCAGCCATTATCAAATTATATCGGAAACTCTTTACTAAGATAAGATTTTGTTCTTTTAGATGATGGACTTTTGAACCCAGAACATAGATTATTTTACTACACAAAAATAGTGCATAAATCGAATGAATTTTGTAGTAAATAGTATGAATCAAACATAACTTTTATTCCCAAACTATTTTCATTCTGAAAATTAAAAGTTCATAAATAGTATGATTCATTTCTTTAATGTTTCATAAATTAAATGAAATAAAATTTATGTGAAGGCTTCTTGATTTCGTTGGAACCTAACGAATTGAAATAAAAACATTTGTTTTAATTAAGGTTTTTTAAAATCTTTTGTATTTTTTTGTTCTTTCATAAAAATTTCACTCTAAAACAGTTATTACAGGTATATAAAAAAACTTAAAAATAATAAAATTAAAATAAAAATAATAATAATAATGAATTAAAAAAATGCTTAAAAACTAGATTTGTTTTTGTTAGAAAGAAACCAAAATGTATCCAATAAAGATACAGATATATTTACACATGTGTTTTTGGAAAAAGAAATGCACAAGTTGGTTTTTGGTATTTTATAGCAAGTAAACTATTTACATAAATGAAATTTAAAAAAAAAAAAAAACAACAAAAATATGAAAACATTATTTTCTGATGGGAAAAACACGTATTTTCAAAATATAAAGTAAATATTTTTTAATACATACAGATACAGCTATAGATAGGTATATACAGACAGATAAATAGATACATACATTCAGTTATAAAAAAATAAATATTTTTCTGTAGAAATATCTACTCTTGCTGGTACTTGGTTAAAATTGTTTGGTTGGTTTTGTGCGTTTTTAATATAAATGTTTAGCCAGGTACAGGATAATGGTTTTTAATAATAATAATAATAATTATCGTAATCGTAATGAGGTAATTGAGATTTGTTTGTTTCTTTTGTAGTTGTCTACTTTCGTTATTTTACAAAGAAAGTAATGATGATTGTAGCGTTTTTAATGCGTGCAAACGCGTTTTTCCATTGCTTTGTTATGTTTTTTGGAAACCTTGTAGGAACATTAAGGTATCAGCGAAGTAAAAGGCCATGCCCAGCTTTGCTTAGCAGTTGAGTGTTGGAGTTTTCAGGTGTTACAATATTTAGTAACCATAAAGATAAGGATACATGGGCACAAAGATGGCAGGTCCCAATTGTCTTTCCTGGGGCATGTGAGTCTTCATGTGTTTTTTGAGATGATCACGACGACCGAATTTCTTGCCACAGGCTGTGCAGGGATATGGTCTTAAGCCGGTGTGTATGCGCTTGTGGCGGGTCAATTCTTCGTTGCGTGTGAAAGTTTTGCCGCAGGTTTCAACATCACATTTGAAGGGTCTTTCACCGGTGTGAATGCGTATATGACCCTTAAGTTGACCATTATTGGAGAAGGCTACATCACAGTGGGGGCACTTGAATTTCTTTGGTCTTTGCTTGCGTGCATTGACGGCCTTGAGGTGGGCATCTTCAGCCATAACACGGGCATATTCCTGTTCCATTAAACTCAAGGCATAGGGATCCAAAGCATAAGCAGCGGCTGCAGAGCTAGTAGTAGGCACTGTTGGTAATCCATTGGCTGCTGCAGCAGCGGCGGCAGCATAGTATAAATCACTAGCCGAGGCAGCAGGCATGGAGGGCAGCATATGAGTCATGGCTGTAGCATGAGCAGTATGTGGATGATGTGCCGCCATATGAGGAGCATGATTTTCCAAAGAGCCATATAGATGAGTATTAGCGTAAGGAACGGGATGTACTAAGCCATTGTTATTGTTCATGGGTGGTGAGGCTGGGGCAGATTCCATTTGCAAGCTATTGTTGAAACTATCCTCATAGCTGGATGATTTAGTGGAAGAACTACTGGAGGAAGCACATTCACGATCACTTTCATTGCCACTAAAAGAGCAATTTTCTGTTTTCACCAAAGAAGAGGCAGAAGCAGACATATCCTCAGTGGAAGAGCTGTATTCGGATTTCACCAAAGGTTTGGCTTGTGGAGTTTCCTCCATTTGATTGATGGGCGAAGCACGGGTATTACAATCCCAAGGACGGAAGAGTCTGGAGTAGGTTTGTGGTGGATGCATGTTTAAGGTAGACATGGTTTTTATAATTGTTTTGCTTTTTTGTAAAAATATATATAAATTTTCTTTCGTTTTTTGTGTAAAAACACTTTCACTTGATAATTTTTAAATTGGTTTTTCTAATTTTTTTTCTCGTTAGAAATACACTCGTTTGTATGTGTTCTCGTTAAGATCCGTAGTGGAACTGATTGACAAACTGTAATGCGCAGAGTATATAAATGAAATGTGTGAAGAGCGAGAGCAAAGGACCTTTTTGTTCAAACATTTTGTCTACCTACTTGTAAAACAAATCATACCTACTTACACACAGACGCACAAACACACACACTAACTCACACTAATACACCTACTTGCATTACTCAATCTCAATGGCTTAGATTTTTGGCCTGTTGGTCTATATGTGTATTTGTTGGGAAATGAAAATCTCGCCCTGATTCATGCTTTTAAGGCTTCATTCATAGATTTGTTTTAAATCACTTAGAGAGCTCGCAAGTATTTGAGACTATGAGTGTGTGTGTGTGTATGTATGTATGAGAGAGTATTAGAGAATCCCCCTTGTTGATTAAGGGTGTCTTTTTATTGTTGTTGTATTTGGTTTTGTAATACGTTTGAACAATGGCTTCCCACTTTTAGCCGCAGACATCGCGGCATCTTGTTGTTTTTGTTGTCTGTCGTTGTGGTTTTTGTGTTCAAATTATTTATTTTTCCTGATTTCAACGTGTATTTTATATTAAATCGTATTTAGAGGAGACTAAATACGTACGATTACAAATATATATAATTTTAAATGCTTGGTTTTTTCCAGGAAACTTATTAAGGACATTGATTAAAATCGGCTAAAATATGGGAGATTTTTAGGTTTGCAGATATGAAACTTTTCTGAGAAATTAAAGATTTGGTTCAGATAGATGGATAGATAGATAGATAGATAGATAGATAGATAGATAGATAGATAGATAGATAGATAGATAGATAGATAGATAGATAGATAGATAGATAGATAGATATATAGATATATAGATAGATAGATAGATAGATAGATAGATAGATAGATAGATAGATAGATAGATAGATAGATAGATAGATAGATAGATAGATAGATAGATAGATAGATAGATAGATAGATAGATAGATAGATAGATAGATAGATAGATAGATAGATAGATAGATAGATAGATAGATAGATAGATAGATAGATAGATAGATAGATAGATAGATAGATAGATAGATAGATAGATAGATAGATAGATAGATAGATAGATAGATAGATAGATAGATAGATAGATAGATAGATAGATAGATAGATAGATAGATAAGATAGATAGATAGATTGATAGTTAGATACGATCTCATAGATAGGTACGATCTCATAGATAGATACGACCTCACGATCTTCGGATTCTCAAGTCTGACAATCCGAAGTTCGATTTTCTCCAGAGACTCTGGTAAATAATATAATTTAATTTCTTAACATTTCAACGCTGTTTGCCCTTTTTGGGATTGGCCCTCACTTATAACTTGTGTCGCATGCTGACTAAGAGATATAGTTATTGAGTCGGTTGCTTTGCAGTCTCCGATATATTTCGAAATTAGAACAAATACCGATGTATAAAATATATATTATATTCAAATAAAAATTAGTTTTATGTCTTGGAATTTGTTTCTGAAACGACTTTATGTCCTACACTTTCAATTTAATTATTTTGTTTAAAAGTTCTTAACTGAAACCGAAAAATTCCCTATGAAATTTTGATAATTAATAAATTTTATTTATTTTCTTCGCCTCTTCAAAACACTGTACACTTGCAAGCCCTATAAAAACCACAAAATATGAAATACAATCCCAAATTATTTCTCTAAATGCTGGCCTCTTTAAATGTGATTTGAAAACAAGCAGCAGCATCTTTTGCAAACATAAACTTTTCTTTTTTTCCCAAAGCACCCAAGAAAAATATATAACAACAACAACAACTAAATGACTATTCTTGTCATACATATTGGCCTTTTCATGCCATTTGTAAGAACCAAAAACAAAAATAGGAAATAAAAACTTTAACATAAACCACCAACCAACCAACCACCCCGTGATAAGGATGAGTACATACATCCTTCGTATATAATGATGAGAAGATGCTGATGACGAGCACGAAAGGGAGTTATTTATTATGGCCCTCAAAACAATTTTTAGGGCTTTGATTTCTGTCTCGATTATAATAAAACCAAGTGAATATAAAAATGTACATGTGTGCGTTTTCATATCTGTGTTTGTGTGTGTATTAGAGTGTATAGTAATTGTGAATTTTACGCTTACCTACTAACAAACCCCCCATGGAAAGCAATTTTTTTCGACACTAAAATTTTTCAAATCCCGAAAAAAGTAAAATGAACAACTGAAAAAAAGTTGTTAGAGCGAAGGCAACGACAAAGGCCTTTAATATTTTCGCAATCTAAAAAACTTATTGTTAAATTTAAGCATGGCTGGGAATGGTTTTGTTAATGCTTTTTATAATGTTTGTTTTTGGGGAGGGAGAGTTGAGGTTTAAAGGAGTGGAAACGTTGGGAATTATAAAAATTTGATTTCTTTAAAAGATAATAGAAGCAGTCTAAGACAGGGACTAACTGTAACCAAGGTAAAATATGGGTCATCTACAACAAATTTGTTCGACCAGATATTTTGGAACGTTTACAAGAGGCCAGTCCTCAAATAGTATAAACACAAATGAAAAATTGAAGATAACGAATGAAGAATCTTAATAGAATAGACCCAATAGGTTAATAAAAATCTTGTGTAGGAATCTTTCTGATTGTTAACCACTTTAGAATGACTAGATCGATTCATTTGTGAATGTTCCGGTCTACGGGCAATTCTTCTTCGGCTTTGTGACATTCGCTTTAAGCTTTAAAGATGTCACAGTAGGGTTAGCATCCTACATCACCCGAAATGTTCCAATGAGAATTGGGGGAAGTCATACATATACTTGTTAAAGAGTGAGTAAAAAGTTTGTTTTCGAAAAAATTAGAGAAAATTTTAATCAGCTCGTTTAAGAATACCACTAAAGGGTTCAATTCTGATATTTTCATTACATTTCCAACCTAACCGGTATTTAAGGATTCAAACTAATACCATCATTGGTACTTGAAATGGTAGCATGTACTTATTCTGAAGGATTCAGAACGAACAATAAAGTTTGATGGGTTCCTACTCCAACATAATAATTATGTAATAGAGGATTTAAGGAAAATGAGGGTTGTAGTTCTAAAAGATCCATTTATTTTGATGATAAAAACTTTAGGAAAAACTTCTTTAACAATAGTACTTTTTCGGAGGTATTTGAAAGGGTACTTTATTTTATTGAAGCAAAACGAAATGCGACGAAGATTTTGATGAAAAATATGGCGAATTGAAGCTGTTCCTATAAGAAACCTACTGAAAAGTTAAGTAGGGAGATATTCATCTCAAATTTAGATTTGAGCTCAAACTTTTTCTTAAATGTAGCTCAAATGTTATACAAGAATAAATGCGCATGATTATAGTACTTAAAAAATTGTTAAAAATATCGGTTTGGGAGAAAAGAGAGGTGTAATTTCCAACGGCTCCTTTAATAGTCCAAAATGCGTTAAATCCTAAGATATTTCTCCCAAAATGCAGATTGAAATGAACTATTTTTATAAATTAAGTTCAACTTATGGAAATAGTACTTTTTAAATGGTACTATAAAAATAAATGGGTAAAAATATCGGTTTTAAGGAAAAATAAGGTAAAATTTCAATCAACCTGTTTAAAGAGTTTAGTCCGGATATATTCGTTATAAATGCCGATTTCAGTTCTTATTTTCTGACAGTGACACTTCAGGGAGAAAAACTAGAAGAATGAGGACGATAGGAATTTTTGAATTTGTTTTATATCGAAAGCAAGTTCAATCCCTACTGGAAAGTACTTTTTGGAAGTGTATGGTACTTTTTACAGAAAATTTGTGACCCTCTTTTTAATAGAGGACTTAAAAAGTAATATTTATTTAAATATTTTGTTCTCTTATAAACTTTTGCAAAGTTCTAGAATCGAGATCGTTTAGAATTTATTTTGGACTAAGGGTATTAACTAATTATTTACCGAATGTTGTCACTAAAAGGACTATGAAAAGACTACTTTGAATGTTTATTTCATCGGCCGTGGAATCCGTATAACGAATGCAAATATCGATAAAATTGTTTAAATACCTTAAAAGCTCTGAAATTTTTATTGTGTACGCATTAATACAAACTTTTGGTTTTTGTGGCATGTATTCCAAAGATGTCTGAAATCTATGTAAGTATGTATGAACGTTGTATTTAAATGGATGATTGAATGTATGTATGCGTGAGTTAGTGTACGATTGTATGTGTTTTAAAAACGCGCCCTTAATGCTTTGCGGGTTTTTGATGATTTTCCTTGTACAAGGATGGATGGATAGATGGCGCAAAGCAGGCATTAAAGTGTATTTGTATGTCTGCGAAAACCATTGGGGTTTGTTCAATATTTTCTTCATCACTTTTTTTTTTTTGCTAGAGAACTTTTTTGTTTTAAGTCACTTTGTCATTTAATTTAGAGGGGGGAGAATGGGAAAAAAAGTTATATATAAAATTAAGCATCATGGAGGTAAATTGCTTTGTTTTGAGGAACTTTTGTTTTTCTTACTCTGATATTGGTAACGGAAGAAGGGGATTGTTGGTTGTTCATTTTTGTGGGTTTTTTTCTACAATTTGTATTTGATCCTATTGTTTTTGTTAAAGGTTTTTGGCTGCTGCTGTGTTGGGTTGTAGGCTTTTTAATGTGATTATCTCGGTGTTCATATCTTTGGTGAAGTTAAAACAAATGATGAAACCACCTTCGCCCAGCCAAAAGAAAAAAAGATAAGAGCTTAATTCAAAAAGATTAAATTTATTCAATCTAAAAAAGGGGGATAAATTGAGGGCTCACATTTCTATACAGGAATGGGGGGGTTTAATATTTTTAGTTATTGAAGTGAAAGTTAATTCAATTTTTCTTTTTTTCTTTTAAAATTTTATGTATTGTGGGAAATATTACTTTAAAGCTCTAAAGTAAAACATCCTCTGTTATATATTCTTCTTTTGGCCTCTAGGTGAACATATTATTGGTCTGTTTTACTTACACTTACTAGG